AGGGGGAGAGGAGTGGGAGGAGGGGGAGGAGGGGGAGGGAAAGGGAGAAGGGGAGGGAAATGGGAGGCGGGGAGGAGGCGGAAATTTTTTTTTCAATAAAAAATTATATTACAAAAAAAAGTGGATGAGGGTAAAGTGTTTCATAGCTATAAACCAAGGGTGTAGCAAAGCTAGGACTGAAAACTGGATTTCTAATCAGTACACGGTGTTGAATCAAGATTCTATAGTGTTTTGCATTTTTGTTTTTAACATTATGTACTTATTGGGAGGCCTCTTCAAGAAAACTATGGTGTGCTTTAAATGTGACAGTCACCAAAATCAAACTTTTTATCTCACAGTTTTCTTTCCATAGACACAAAGAGTTTAAGACACAAAGCCTGATTCTGTCTGGAAAGTATCTACTATTTACCCTCACTCACTGGTACACAGCTCTATGTAGGTTCATGTGAGATTCACCTTGCAGATATTTTGAACATAACACAGTTGTACCAGTACTTAAACTCTAACATATTTCCAGTTGAACAAGCTACTATCTTCCATCCATTGTGTGAAAACTAAACTATTATGTCTCTCTGTTTTGAGCTTGGATGTTCGTTCTTCCCTATCTCCAAATTTTAGCTTTGATAGCTGCTTCCCCTCCAGAACCAGTCTCAGTATATACTACTCTTTTATACACCAACTCAATACTCCATCAAATCTGTCCCAAATATAATACCCCAATTTCCTGACCCTCATTCTGGTAGTATTCTTTCCCTGGGTCATGCTCATTGTTTCGCTCCTGTCTCCATGGTGGCTATGATTTATAGTTGTTCAAAGTTCATGCTATTGAAAGAGAGGATGAGAAGGGCACTGAAGTGTAAAGGGATGTAGACAAAGAGAGGGTGCTCGTGTTCTTGGATCTTTTTCTGTCTAGGAAGTAGCTGTGACTCATTAAAAACCTTGGCACTGTTTTCTGAATGTGTTGCAAAGGATATATTCATAAAGATGTATGTATAGCTAGGCTGGCTAATCTGATTTCACTTGTTCTCAGACGGAATTTTGAGGACCAGCTTTACTCTGGTTTCCCTTCCTGTCAGAATATGATGGCTGAAATGTGAAATAGTCTCCATAGACTCAGGGATTTGGATACTTTGGTGCTGTTTGTAGGGTATAGGAAGTGCATTCAGTCTTGATGAAAGAAGTGTATTATTGGGGGGTGGGCTTTGAAAGTTCATAGCCCTGCCCCACTTCCAGTTCATTCTCTTTGCTTCTTTTCAACAGATGAAAGAATCATATCTCAGCTTCCTACTCCTGTCGTCATGCCCACTGCTTGCTTCCATGCTTCCCCCCCGTAATGGACAGTTACCCCTCTGGAACTGTAAACCAAAAGAAACTCTTTCTTCTGTAAGTTTGCTTTGGTCTTGGTGCTTTATCGTAACGACAGAAAGGCCACCGTACATCTTTCTTGGTTTCCTTAGCTTTAGTTCTATGGAAGTCACTTATGCTACCTCTGCTTTCTTTCTTTGTTTCCTGAGGGATCTCTCTCAGCTTTCTTTAATTCTGCTATTATCTAAATCCATGTTCTTAATAGGAAGAAGTGGGGAAAAGGACATGGGAAAGGCAGCAATCACTGTATTAGACATCATCACTAAATAAATTAGGTATCAAAGGGAAAAAGAAGAAATGACAGTTCAGAGATTTACCACAACAAAGACATATTGAGCATCTACTGTGGTCAGGGTACAGTGATGAATCTTGAAGGATAAGCGGGATTTTAACAGACAGAGGTGGCAGAAGACGGGGTGTTTCAGGCATAAGGAATAAGATGAGGAAAAATCAAAATAAAGCAACCAGAGTGGCAGCATACATCTGTAGCCAAAGCTACTCAGATAGCCGAGGCAGGGTGGAGAGTCGAGCCTAGGAGTTTGAACTGCTGTTCAGTTACTATGTACTGAACAACATACTAAGACTCTTTTTCTCAAGAAAAAATAATATTGTTCATATATTCAGGGACCAATAAACAGTTTAGTTTGACTAGAACACAGGGTACAAGGATGAAAATGGAGATCAAAGCCCTGTTTTGCTGGGTGTGGTTGTACACACCGTTAGTCCAAGCACTTGGAAAACAAAGAATGCAGATCTCTGTGTGTTCCAGGTTAGCCAGGGCTATAGAGCAAATTCCAGGACAACCAATGCTACATAATGAGGGCCCATTTGGGGGAGTGGAATAAAGTCCTGCTTTGAGGGTCTTGAATGTACAAATGGGTTTATACCTATTTGTTTTAGTACTGGGGTTTACACAGGGCTGTTGAATAAGGAAATGACATAATCGTGGCTACATTTAGGATATTAACCTAGCAGCAATATGGGGAACAGAGCAAAACAGGAAAGCCTGGGAGGCAGGGACAGTGGTTATGAAGATACCACAATATTCAAGGCAGTTGCAAATGCAGGTCTGGGCCAAGCTCAGAGGATAATCAGGAGAAACATGTTTCAGGAAAAGATTCATCACTGTCAAACGTGCAAACACCAAGAGAAATGTGAGAATTTATTTTTAAAGGTGGGGGTGGGCTAGATTGGGGAACCAGAAGTCACAAGTTACCTTTGTAAAAGGAGTTTCAGTAGGGCTTTGGAAGTAGATACTAAAGCATTCAGGGTTAGAGTACATCAGCTGGCTGCAAGCCTAGACTCCTCTCCCGAAGTTCGGCCATAGAGGGAATAGAATAGATTTCAGTTTGATCAAAGAGTCTAGTGTAAACCAGAAAGGGGAAATTACTAATGGAGCCAACCAGTCAAACATTTC